CCCAAAACCCCAAAACCCCAAAACCCCAAAACCCCATGAGTAAAAATAGAAGGAAAAGGCGATAATTCAATAAAAATAGTAAAATATTAGTAATTAAAAAAAGGTTTCATATAATAAATCGGTTAATGAGATCAAATGTCAAAGACCTGAAGGAAATGGTTAATAAGTCTAGAGGAGTCATCGATAAACGCTTCTCTGAAGTTGAAGTTGATGAGGTAGTAGATTTGGATGAATCGGGACTTGATACCACGAACCAATCAAGCAAATATAACAATAGTTCAACACTCATAAAGCAATCAGCAACACTCAAGAATCCCAGAGCTAATGGCACATCATCTGCTTAAGTCAATAATAGTAAGTCCTAGACTTCTAAAATTTTATGAACTCCATTAATACCAATACCAATTAAAATATTAGGCGAAATTCAAAATAAATTCAAGAAGCTGCAAGAGTTATCAACTAATGACAAGGAAGTTATTGAGGCATTGTAGAAGAAATTGTAAACGATAAAATTAGACCATGAAGCATTGCAATAAAAATACTCTGCCTTGTAACGCAACTACGAAGGTGTTTCTAGCTATGCAGCTAGTGATAAGGCAGAGCATACCAAACTCAGGACAATGCGAGAGATGGCTGAAAAAGAAGCAGCTGAGCTCAAGAAAAAGAACTATGAATTGGAGGAGAGTAATAAGCAATTGAAAAATACCGTGGAATAGCTAAACATGCAGATTAATGATTACAAGAACAAAATGGACTAAAAAATTAGAGAGCTAGAAAAACTAAAGGATGAAGCCAAGAAAAAAGATAAGACCTTTGAAGACAAACTTAACCTTGTGAATTGTAAGTCTTGCATTAATGCTCTAATCATTAACTTCACCATATTTAATTTGTACCAATGTAATTCATATCATAGAGAGCAATAAGTAGCTTAATGAACAGAATACTAAAATGAAGAGTGACTTGAAAAAACTTCAAGAAGAGAACAATGAACTTAAAGAGTAAGTAGACAGCTTGACTCGCCAAGTTGCCTCAGCCAATGAAAACTCCAACATTATAGAAATCTTCAGACAAAAGGAAGAGGACTTTGAGAATCAGATCTTGTAATTACAGTCAAAACTAAGAATATCAGATGAAGATCTACACAACAGAATAATTGAAAATGAGGAGCTACTCCAAATCAGCAAAAAGCTGGATGCTATGAACAACCAAAATGAATCTAAATTAAAGGAAGTGTAATAGATCAGTAAGGAATAGGAAAAGTTAATTACTGAGCTTCAACTTAAGGTGCAGGATCTTAAGGCTAGTCTGAAAATTGAATAGGAAAATTCGCATAGGACAAAGTAAGAAAGGGATCAGTTCGAAAAGGATTACCAATAGGCTTAGAGTGAAATTGATGATTTGATGAAAAACTCCTCTCAAAGTTCTGATATGCTTTCTTAGAGAGTAAAGGAAATGGAGATTGAGAAGAAAGCATTAAAAGCAAAGATTGATTAGCTAGATGGTGACGTCTATAAACTAAACAGAGACAAAGTAAATTAAAAATAGATTAGTTATATTTCTCCCATTAGGCTGATATACAATAAGCAAGAGATAAAGCTTACGATTAGGTTGATACTTACAAGTAAAAGTTATCTGATCTTTAAAAAGAGCTGGATTAGTTTAAGGAATCAAACTCAAATTTACAGCTTCAACTTCAATGTAAATTTAAAGGCTAATGCTTTAATTAATAGAATAAAAGCAATCGTTTTCATAGAAAGATAAGGAGCAGGATGCACTCTACTAAGAGTTGAAGCAATTTAAGGATTAAATAGAGTAAATGATGAAAAAGTAGACTACTCTAGAGAGGGACCTTTAGGCCAATCAAAAGCAAGCAGAGAGGTTAGTAATTGTTAAAAAGGGTATAATGGATGCTATTGCAAAAATGAAGAAGAGTTTTGAGAGCATTGATACGACACTGTCCTGTCTTAGTTGTTTGGAATTCCTAAATGATCCTTTGACTCTCGTTTGCGGCCATTCCATTTGCTAAAAGGTATATATTAACTCTTAATCATTATTTAGTGCTTCAATACACATTCAGATCCCAAAAGCAAAGATTCGCTAGTGTTTTGTGAAGAATGCAAAATAGAGACTAAAAACAAAAACCTGAGAGAGAGCAAAGTCATCAAGACTATCTGCGATAAATTCTTGTTCACTAAAGGCTGCATCGAGGAAGTCAAAATCCTTGTATAGTGATAGCAGTCACTTCCCAATTGACTTTATAATAACTGCAATAAATTATCTAACGAAGAAGAAATTATATTAATTGTTATGAATAATTGATAAGTTGCTAATTATAGTTCTTATGGGGTTTTGGGGTTTTGGGGTTTTGGGGTTTTGGGGTTTTGGGG